CCTGATCCAACGAGTCCGGATCTCGGCGGTCTCGGATCTGAAGGAGTTCTCTGGCAAGGACCAAGACGAGGATTGAGTGAGAGCTTGGGTCAGTAAGGTGAAGTCTGCGTTCCTCCGCGATCAAGCACCTGACGAAGAGAAGTGCCTGACCTTTGCGGATCTGCTGTCTGGATCGGCGCGGAACTGGTACCGTCAACTACCTCGATCCACACGCAATAAGTGGCCGGATCTCCTTCGCAGCTTCCAGACCCAATACTGTGGACTGGGGATCTCCGTCGCCCGCCAGTATTATCATGCTCGCAAGCGATCGGATGAGTCTCCGCTGAATTATCTCTACCGACTTAACGTCGCCGGACTCCGTGCTCGACTCAAGATCAAAGACGGTGGGTCCAAGGAGAAGCGCGAGCATGTGGACCATTTCATTGAGACTCTGGGCGATGAGGATCTGGCGGATCGGCTGGCATTGCTCCGACAGCCGGATGCTGACGAGTTGGAAGAAGTCCTGCGTGCCTTGGATCGGGCGAAGAACCGACAGAAGAAGTCCGCGTATGGATCCAGCAAGTACCGACAAAAAGCACCAGCGACGCCTGCGCCGGCCGCTCCAGCCAAACATGTGCGTGCGATCCAAATCCAACCTGACTCGGGATCCGAGTCTGGATCCAGCGATGGATCGGACTCCGAGTGCGACGAATACCGCAGGATCTATTTGTCTGCCTCCCACGACCATGCGAAACCAGTCGAGGAAGAGCCGAAAGCCCTGGAACGGAACCCTCTAGACCGGCAGCAGCAAGATCCAACCTCCCGCGATCAGAGATCCAAGATCCACGCTGACGGATCCGAGAGAAGCCGCTGTACGCACTGCGGATCCAAGAAGCACTCGCATCTCGGCTGCTGGAAGCGGTTGACGTGTGAGAAGTGCGGCAAGAAGGGTCATCCAGGTGACCATTGCCTCTTCGTGTGCCGTGGGTGTGGTGAACTCCATGACGTGGGCCGGTGCCCGATGGAAGAGTTTTACAACCAGATCCGTCAGTGGTTCAATCCAGCCAAGCATGCGGGGATGCTGCCAGAAATGGCGGAAAGGATGTTAAACTAGGACGCTCGCCGGGTTGGAATCCGGTACGAGCCGAGCGTTCTAGTTATTGCATCTATGCATTTGTGAACAAGACATCGACAGATCCAGTTAGCAAACGACAGAATCTACGCGGTAATACATGTGATCTTCATGGGAAACGTACTGCTGTGATCTCAAGTCTTCGGCAAGCCGACGACTACTCCAGATCCGATGCGACAGTGGAAGCAGACCTGGATCCAGAAGCTCGTCAAGGCTATTGGAAGCAGCAGGATCCAGAGCAGTGGTTCAAACCAGCGGAAGGCGAAGACACCTCGGGATCCAGATCCCGACGTGTCGCTGCAAGCCGGCGGATCGTAGATCCAGAGTCCTCGTATCTCCTACCTGGAGAATTTCGAGGGTACTGGAAGCAACATTCGCCAGGCAAGTGGTTCCGTCAGGCCAAGATCCACGGCAAGATCAACAATGAGAAGGCTATCTTACTCCTAGATACCGGTGGCGAGGTGTCCATCGCGGACACCGCCTTTGCTCGTAAGGTTGGGTGCTACATCGACAGGAGTCAGGGCCAAGAATGCGTTGGGATCGGAGACAACGTGTATACGACGGAAGGGAGAACGCGGATCAAGATCACCTTGGGTCAGCCGGGATCCGACTGGATCTAGCTGATGGGACTCTCTACCTGCCTGACGAAGTCCGGATCCAGCTCAGCGGACGCTGTTCACTCTACAGTGACAAAGCGCAGTCGGTAAAGTTGGATCGCTATCTCCAGCTTGGGATCGGAGAGTCCGCAGAGTTGCCCATGCGTCTGCGAGGATCGGAACATGACAAGCTTTGGGTTACGCGAGGGGAGCGATGGGTGCCAACAGTGATCAAGGGCCCGGGCAAGACACGGTACCTTCGAATCACGAACGTCGGCGATAAGGAGCTGGTGCTGCGCCAGAATCATCAAGTAGGGATGTGGCTGGCCGGTGATCGGGTGCCGCGGATCCAAGGTTACGTATCCGTCGGATCCCGCCGCTACCTGGAGTGGCAGAATCTCGTGCTGCAAGCCACGACGGAGGCTGGATCTGCGGAGGTGACGCCTCCAGAAACCCCGACGGGGCCGATGGTGGAGCGTCCTGAGTATCCGACGCCGCGTGCAATACTGCGGAGGCAGGATCCAGCTCAAGTCAGACAGGTGGAACCAAGATCCAAGAGCGCCGGGGGTGGACGGGGCAAGTCGCTGCCAGATCCGCCCGGTCAGGCGATCGACGAATGCATCGCCGGGGCGGCGGAGGTGTTGCAACTCCAAGCTTCAATCAAGGCGCGGACACGAGATCAGCGACCGGAGGAGACGAGCGGACAAGTGATCCGCAGGCCGAAGATTCGCCGGATCAAGATCCAAGTGACGAGGAGTCCCTGGGAGTCGGCGAACCTCGCAGTCAACCGTTCGCGTTACGTCAGTGCATGAAGATTGACACGTGGGAAGAGGTGCAGATCCAGAGCCCATCACCCCAGAGCCCATCATCCCAGGTCAGATCCACGGATCTTGGATGTGGACGGGACGAGCCGACGATCGGACCTCCGTCGAGGCCAGATCCCACGGTGACGCAGGACAATGGGTCGATTCGACAGGAGCAACCGCACATAGCTATTGCCCGGATGGAGGACGCCCAAGATCCAGTGT